TTAAGGTTGGGGTGGAAGGTGTTAGTGAAGTGTATGAACTGTTCGAGCTCCTCGTGGGAGCACGAGGCGGCGCCGATACAGTCATCAATGTAACGGAGGAAGAGGTGGGGTTTAGGGCCGGTGTAGGTACGGAAGAGGGATTGTTCCACGTAACCTACAAAGAGGCAGGCCTAGCTTGGGCCCATGCGGGTACCCATGGCTACCCCCTTTGTCTGTAGGAAGTGGGAGGAATTGAAAGAGAAGTTGTTGAGTGTGAAGACGAGTTCGGCTAAGCGGATGAGGGTATCAGTGGAGGGGGACTGGTCGGGCCTGCGGGACAGGAAGAAGCGGAGGGCCTTAAGGCCATCTGCATGGGGAATGCAGGTGTAGAGGGACTGGACGTCCATGGTAAAGATGAGGTGTTGGGGACCGGGGAATTGGAAGTTCTGGAGGAGGTGGAGGGCGTGGGTGGTGTCACGGACATAGGTAGGGAGTTCCTGGACCAAGGGGGAGAAAATGGAGTCTAGATAGTTGGAGATCAGTTCGGTGGGGCAGGAGCAGGCGGAGACAATGTGTCGACCAGGGCATTCAGGTTTGTGGATTTTGGGAAGGAGATAGAAGCGGGCAGTGCGAGGTTGGGGAACGATGAGGTTGGAGGCCGTGGGTGGGAGGTCATCTGAGGTGATGAGGTTGTGGATAGTTTGCGAGATGATGGTTTGGTGCTCAGGGGTGGGGTCATGATCAAGGGGGCGGTAGGAGGAGGTGTCGGAGAGTTGGCGTCCGGCCTCGGCGATGTAGAGGTCAGTGCGCCATACTACAACTGCGCCTCCCTTGTCCGCGGGTTTTATGGTGAAGTTGGGATTGGAGTGGAGGGCTGCACGTTCTGCAGGGGAGAGGTTGGAGTGGGTGAGAGGGGTGGAGAGGTTAAGGCGATTGATGTCTCGACGGCAGTTGGAGATGAAGAGGTCGAGGGAGGGTAGGAGGCCTTGGGGTGGTGTCCAGGAGGAGGGGGTGTGTTGGAAGCGGGAGAAGGGGTCAGTAGAGGGAGGGTTAGGTTCACGGTCAGGATTTGGAATACGCTGCTTGGGAGAGTGGTGGAGGCAGATTCCGTATGACGTTTCAAAGAGAGCTGGTTGTGTATTTGAAATTAATTAATTTAGAGGGCTACAGAGATAGGGCTAGAGAATGAATAGCTCTTTCGGGAGCCATTACAGACACGATGGGTTGAATGGCCTCCTTATGTACTAAAAAGTTCTATTATTTTATTCTATGATTCACCTGGATTTCCCAGTCAGAAGAAATATTTATCACTATTCCTGTAAAAAAACCTTGTTTCTGTTAAAGCAAAACACTGTGGATGCTGGAAATCTGAAATATAAACAGAGTACTGGAGAACTCAGCAGGGCTGACAGTATCTGTGGAAAGAGAAATGGAGTTAACATTTTTAGTCCAGTATGACTCTTCTTGTGAACTCAAAACATGTTTTATCCTAGTTTGAGACTCTTGCAGTTTAACACTTGGGTGTCTAGGTATTTTCATAGATCATAGAATCTATGTGGAAACAGACCCTTCAGCCCAACAAATCCACACCAACCTTCAGAGCATCCCACCCAGACCCACCCCCCGTAACCCACCTAATCTACACATCACTGAACACTATGGGCAATTTAGCATGGCCAATCCACCTACCCTGCACATCTTTGGACTTTGGGAGGAAACTGGAGCACTCAGAGGAAACCCACGCAGACACGGACAACGTGTAAACTCCACATAGACAGTCGCCCAAGGGTTGAATCAAACCCTAGGCCCTGGTACTCTGAGGCAGCAGTGCTAACCACTGAGCTAAAATCTAAGATACTTCTTCTGAGGTAAAGATATCCTTCCTGAAGTATTGTGTGTCCAAGATTGCACAAGATCAAATGGGTAAATGGGCTGGAAAATGGATAATCTAATCTGGATGAATGCAGGATATTGCATTTTGGTACAACAAACAAAAGTAGGGCTTATATAATTAACGGTAGGATCTTGGGTAGTGTTGTAGAGCAGACGGACCTAGGGGTGCAGGTAACATAATTCTTTGAAGTTTGCATCACATACAGGCAGGGTGATTAAAAAGGCATTTAGCATGCTTGCTTTCATTGTTCAGTCCTTTGAGTGTGGGAGTTGGGAAGTCATGTTGAGGTTGTACAGGACAATGATGAGGCCTTTTCTGGAGTACTGTGTCCAGTTCTGATCACCCAGTTATTAAGCTGGAGTGGGTTCAGAAGAGTTTTACCAGGATGTTGCTGGGTATGGAAGGTCTGAGTTAATAAAGGAAGGTTGGATAGGCTGGGACTTTTTTCACTGGTGCACAGGAGGTTGGAAGGTGAACTTATAGAAGTTTATAAAATCATGAGGGGTATAGATAAAGTTAATGTTAGTGTCTTTTCCCTAGGATGGGGGTTTTCAAGATTGAGGGCACATTTTTAAGGTGAGAGGAGAGAGATTTATAAAAAACATGAGGGACCAGTTTTTTTTACACAGAGGGTGGTTCACGTGTGGAATGAACTTCCTAAGGAAGTGGAGGATATGGGCATAATTACAACATTTTAAAAGACATTTGGATAAATACATGAACAGGAAAGGTTTGGAGGGAAATGGACCAGCAGCAGGCAGGTGGAACTAGTTTAGTTGGGGATTACGTTCAGCATCGACAGGTTGGACTGAAGGGTCTGTTTCCATGCTGTATAACTCTAATGTGATCTAACCAGGGTTTTGCATAACTGTAGCATGACTTCATAAAATGGTAATAGTATCGAAGGGTGATGGTTGGCCCCTTAAGCTTGTGGCAGCTCCTTGCAAGGGCAATTTTGCTATTTCCTGCTCTCCTGCACATTCCCAGT